AGGTTGCAGTGAGAGGAGGTCATGCCATTGCACTCCAGCCTGGGCAACAAGAGCGAAACTCCAGCTCAAAAAAAAAAAAAAAGTTGTGGAAAAGTCTCGATGAAATCATTTTTATAAAGTGTTTTAGCATGGTGCCTGGCACATGAATAGTAGCAATGAATACACAGCAGCCATTTATTATAGATATTTTATATTGCAGATTAGTTTGCCCAAGGCAACCAGAATGATTTATTTCTGATGAAAAATCCTACTCATTGTCTTAGAAAAACAATAAGCTCATATTTACTGATCACGAACTAAGTGCTTTGAATGCCTTCTCAAGTTTTTGTTTTTTGTTTTTTGTTTTTTGTTTTTTTTCCACAAAGGTCCTGCAAGGTAAGTTTTATTAATCTCCATTTTGCAGATAAGGAAATTTAGGCTTCCATAGGCTAAAGAATTTAGACAAGGTCCCTCAGCTAGTAAAGCAAGGGGGTGGGCCTACAATGGAGGTCTGAACCATGACCCTTTTTTGGGGGTGGGGAGAAGAATCTGGCTCTGTCACTCAGGCTGGAGTGCAGTGGCATGCTCTTGGCTCACGACAGCCTCCACCTTCCAGGCTCAAGCGATTCTCATGCCTCAGCCTCCCAAGCAGCTGGAATTACAGGCACCTGCCACCACGCCCGGCTATAGTAGAAATGGGGTTTCACCATGTTGGCCAGGCTGGTCTCAAACTCCTGGCCTTAAGTGATCTGCCCGCCTCAGCCTCCCAAAGTGCTGGGATTACAGGTGTAAGCCACTGTGCCCAGCCTGAACCATGACCTTAAAGCCAGGAAACCCCTCAGCGGGCATCATCCCTAAGGAGCCAGAGGGCACTGCTCAGGCAAAGCAGAATCTCAGTTGTGGGGAATTTACTGGGCATGTACCCAGTAACATGTGACACAGAGAGGTGAACAGAGAGGCTACAGCCTGCCCAGTGCAGGGAATCAGCCCTGAGGCTTGGGAAGGTCATGGAACGCTTTGTGTGGAAGCTAGGCGTGCAAGGATAAAGGGAATGCCAGCTGGCAGGATGCAAGGAAAGAACTCCAGAAAGAGCAGGACAAAGATAAAGCTGGAAGGAAGGAGAGAGAGGTGTTAGGTGGCCCACCACTGGGCTCAGGCATGTCAGCGCTGGTGTGGCCCATCTCTAAGGACCTGTCCCAAACCATGAAAATCTTTTTTTCCTTAAGACCTGCTACAAAGCAACAAACCATGAAAACCAAGGAATTTTTCTGATGATTACTCAATACTTTCTTGGCAACCAGAAGACACCTCCATCCAAGAGAGGGGACTTGGTCTCATGCAACCCCTCCAGGCAGCTCACTGCACACCACTCCTCTGGTCCCACCCAGCAGTGCCCATAGCTTTGGAACTGAAAATCAGGGCTCGCTGCCTAAAAAAGGGCTTTTGTCTCTGAATTTCCAAGTGCCAGAGGTAGCAGGAAAGTGTGGTGGTTAGGATGCTGAAAAAGTGACAAGTTCATTCCACGGAACTTTGATGGTTAGTGGGGACAGCAGGCAGATTGTCTAACATGACAGAATCTAAGAGGAGGAAGAGTTGCTGGCTGACTGCTGTAATGAGCTCAGCCAGGCCTGAGGGCACTTCCTTACAGACAACAGGTGGCTTTTCTGCTGGCTCCCAGGGCTGGAGGAGCTCCAAGGTACTGGGTTACCTCAGGAGCCCAGAGAAACAGAGGCAGTGTGCCCACTTGAAGAACAGGCAATCTTAGATCTGAAGAGCCAGGTAAATGTTCTCCTTTTCCATACGTAGTTCCAGCTAAATTTGTAAGCTTCAAAGAAGAGAGGAATATCCTCATTTCTTCTCTCCCCCAACACATGGTTTGGTATGGTGCTCCCAGCTAGGGAGAGGCTATATTAGTGAAGGCAAGTTCTGCTGCTATGACCAATAGACTTCAAATGTAATGGCTCAAATACAACAGAAGTGCATTTCTTGCTAGGGCATCAGTTCCAGGCCAGTGGACTGGTTAATGAGGCCGTCTCCCTCCCCATAGGCATCCAGGGACCAGGCTAACAGGACGTGGCAAGTGAGTGCCACTCATGGTCCCAAATTAGATCTTTGTTTTCCTTTTAGAGAGACAGGGTCTCCCTCTGTCACCCAGGCTGGAGTGCAGTGGCATGATCATAGCTCACTGCAGCCTCGAACTCCCATACTCAAGCCATCCTCCTGCAGCCTCGAACTCCCATGCTCAAGCCATCCTCCTGCCTCAGCCTCCCAAGTAGCAGGGACCACAGGTGTGCACCACCATACTTGGCTAATTTTTTTTTTTTTTTTTAAGAAACAGGGTCTCGCTATGCTGCCTAGGCTGGTCTCAAACTCCTGGGTTCAAGCATCCCAAAGTACTGGGATTACATACGTGAGACACAGCACCTGGTCTCAAATTAGGGAGCTCGTCAGTTCTACCTCCTGTGTTGTCACTTACCTCACCACACCCACCAGTCCTGCCTCAGCTGTCTTCTCTCTCCAAGCCATTGTAACTGGTCCCTGGGCCTGTCTTGCACTTTTCCAATTTTCTCTCCACAAGGAAGCTGTGCCACACTTCCTTGTCCCAGCTCCTGCCGCTCTCAGCCTGGAACACTGTTTCCAGTCCACTTGGTAAACTCTGAACTCTCTTTTCATGAGTTGAGTTTCATGAACTGAGTTTCAACGTTTCATAAGTTAAGTTTCATGAACTGAGTTTCAACTTTTCATGAGTTGAGTTTCTGAACTGAGTTTCAGTTCAGAAACTGAATCACCTTGATGAAGCCTTACCTGACCCACCCCTTCTGGGTCCCCAGACATATTCTTCCCTGGAAAGAGCTTCCCTGCTTATTGCACTAATGGGCTGACACATCAGTCTCCCCAAGTAGCCTGTGGGTGCCTTGATACCTGTATTAGTCCATTTTAATGCTGCTGATAAAGACATACCTGAGACTGAGATGAAAAAGTGATTTAATAGACTCACAGTTCCACATGGCTAGGGAGGCCTCCCAATCATGGCGGAAGGTGAGGAGGAGCAAGTCACATCTTACATGGCTGGCAGCAAGCAAAGAGAGCGAGGGCTTGTGCAGGGAAAATCCCGCTTTTAAAACCATCAGATCTGTGAGACTTATTCATGGTCACAAGAACAGCACAGGAAAGACCTAGCCCCACGATTCAATTACCTCCCACCAGGATCCTCCCATGACATGTGAGAATTGTGTGAGTTACAATTCAAGATAAGATTTGGGTGGGGACACACCCAAACCATATCAGTACCCACATGTGTGAGAATAAACCCCCCCCCAACCCCTCACAGCAAAGTCAGCCCTCAGATCTAGGACTCTGCTACCATTAACTTACTGTAGAACTTCTCTTAAACTAGCCATGACCTCTGGACCCATTCCTAATCTATAAAGGGAAGAACAACCATCCCAGGAGTGTTCTGTGATTGCCCCATGTTTTAGGAAAAACTCTCCTCAAATCGTGTTTTCCCTCTACTCTCATGCCATCACAATCATCAACACAGAAGACTTCAGTGACCAAATGTGTGTGGCGTTTCCCCACCAACAAGCAGTGAACATCAGCTGGGTGTCCTCTAATTCAGTTCCAACACTATCTACCCAGAGACATTGTCAGACCCCACAGGCTAAGGGTTTAGTTTCCAAGACCGCCCCCCTCAACCACACCAGGCACAAGTCTAGGCCTCCAGAACTTCTGACCAACTGGCTTCAAGTTGAGGTTCCCACGACCTCCTCTTTGGGTTCAATTAATTTGCTAGAGTGGATCACAGAACTTAGAGACACACACTTACTTATGTTTACCGGTTTATTATAAAGGATATCGCAAAGGATACAGATGAAGAGATGCACATAGGGCAAGGAATGAGGGAAGGGGAAGGGGTGCGGAGCTTCCATGCCCTCCCTGGGCACACCACACTCCAGGAAGCGCCAGGTGTTCAGCTATCCGGAAGCTCTCTGAACCCTGTCCTCTCGGGTTTTTATGGAAGCTTCATGACATCAGCATTCCTTCCCCCAGGATTGAGACTCTCTCATGGGAAGGTCTTTAGGACCCACCATCAAAAAGGTGGGCAAACATTAGTGAAAAGATACCCAGAGGTCAGAGGCCTGCCCCCAGAGCCCTAACATACCCAATATTCCAACAAAGACTGGAACGAGGACTATGGGAGTCACGAGTCAGGAATGCTGGATGAAAACCAATATACATCATAACACCACATCCAGCATTGACACTTAGCACACAGGTGTTAGAAACAAATGACTCCTAGGCACTCTTCCTGCGTGGCCTCTGCCCACAGCCGCCCCTCACAGGGCTTTCAGCCTGCCAGTGGAGATCACTCGAGGGCCCACACATGAAGGGCCCTGTGCACATGGCACAGTCCTGACTCTGAGTTCGCCTCAGCTCCTGAGGGTTGCCCTGGCCTCATTAACCCTTGAACTCCCCAACTGCCACCCACCCTACGCATTTTTTAAGCACCTGCTGCCAGGTCAAGACCACCACCTTCCAGGACCTGCAAGCCCCACCCAGCTCTGACTGGCACATGACCAGCTATGAGGGCCAGTCTGGCAGAACAGTATCCCGTGAGCTCAAATCCTGCTGAGAAAACAGCACAGAAAGGGCACAGTGGCTCACACCTGTAAGCCCAGCACTTGGGGAAGCTGAGGCAGGAGGATTGCTTGAAACCAGAAGGCTGAAACCACTGTGAGCAACAAAGCAATACCCCATTTCTACAAAAATAAAAAAATTAGCCACACGTGGTGGTGCATGACTGTAGTCCCAGCTATTCAGGAGGCTGAGGCAGGAGGTCTCCTGGAGCCCAGGAGTTCGAGACTGCAGTGAGCTATGACTGCAACACTGCACTCCAGCCTGGGTGAGACAGCAAGACTACAGCTCTAAAAAAAAAAAAAAGGAAAGGGTGTGTTTCTTTGCCTGGTACTTGCCTATTCCCAATTCAACTCCTGGAAAAAAGAAATAATTTGATATATAAATAGAGGTTTTTCAATAGATCATGTTTATTCCCAAGCCCCAACCAGATATGTTCTACTCCTCAAGGTCCCCGAGACCCAGGCTGTGGGCTGGAAAATGAAGGCACAGTGTCAGAGTGCCCCTGTTGGCATATGAAGACCCAGGAGTACTGACCTTCAGGGATCTGCCTGCACTGCCCACGGGCCTGGCACAACAGGAGGCACTCCTGTTTCTGTCCCTTCTGTCTCTGTTCTTGAGAGCAAGGTTTCTGCTGAGATATGCTAAGGAAGCCGAGTCCTCTGTCAGCCCTGACCTGACTGACAGGCAGACAGGAGCCAAGGCCCCAGTGAAGCTCCAGGATGATGGTGGCCCTCAGGGGAACAGACGCAAAACCAGGCACAGGCCTGCCTTCCAGCTGGCATCTACCTGTCAGGCCCAGAACCTCTGTGCAGTTGAAGTGGGCTCCCCAGAAGGAAAAACAATACAGCTGAGTCTAGTGCTAGGGGACAGAGAACTGGGGTTTCAAGAAAGCACCCCAAAACAGGCTCTTCCCATGGGGCTGAAGAGAAGTTGGCCCCAGAGCCCAAAGCCCAGACTGCAGTGGGTGAAGATGAGAAGCAGCCCAGGCCCCTTCAGGAGCTGGGCCCTGAATCCTGAGGCCACCATCACCTCAACATCACTTCCTACAGCAGAAAAAGGTCACTCTTCTTTCCAGAGGAGGTAACACAGCCTCAGAGCTTGCTCCGCGGGGCCTCTGCCAGGGGCCGCTGCAGCCGCCACACCACCCGGACCGGCTCAGCAGCGCGGTCCAGCTCCCGGAGGCCACCCAGGTCTTGGGTCTGGCTGTACTGCTGCAGGGCCGGCTGGAGCACCGTGATGGGAATGCTGAAGTTCAGGTGGGGGTAGGTGGCCCCCGTGTTATTGTCCCGGGTGTTGCTGGTGATTATGCCTGTTGAGGAGTCAGAGAGCAAAAGGGGATGTGAGCCAGGAGGCAGAAAGGCTGGAGAAGGGAGGAGGACCATCTCCACCCTGGAGCCCAGGGCCGGGTAGGACTGGAAACCACCCCCCATGGTGACAGATGCTGAGCTTCTAGACATGAATACCTGCTGCCCACACCCGTTCCTGGCTTTACGTTCTCCTTCACACTCTCAATATCTAACACACTAGATAGTTCACTTATTTCACTTGTTATCTTTCTCTCCACCTAGTGTCAGCTCCATGAGGGCAGGACTTTGATGTTTTATTCATGCAGTCTCCCCAGTACCTGGAACAGTGCCTTATGCCAAGTAGGCTCTCAACAAAGGCTTGTTGGATGGATGGATGGATGGATGAATGAATGAATGAATGAATGAATGAATGAATGAATGAATCAGACCCACAGACATGTTTTGTTTGGCCTGTTCGGTGCATCGATGTGTGTGTAGTTTTTTAAAGATAATTTCAGACATAAAGAAGCCTTGCCTAAATACTGCAGAATTCTATATACCCTTTGACCAGCTTATGTTCAGATCTAATGTCACCAAAAAATATTTACCAAAACCAAAACATATACCTTGGTACAATCCTGTTATTAAGTGAACTATAGAACTCATTGGCATGAGTTGCACTAGTTTTTCCACTAATGTCCTTTTTCAGTTCCAGCATCCAATCTAGGACTCCATATTGCATTTAGTTGTCACATCTCCCAAATCTCTTCCAATCTGGGTCAGTTCCTCAGTCTTTCCTTATCTTTCATGGCCTTGACATTTTTAAGAGTGCAGGTTATTTTATTTATTCACAGGTTTTTTTGTTCTTGTTTTTGTTGTTTTAGAGGCAAGGTCTCACTCTGTCGCCCATGCTAGAGTGCAGTGGTGGGATTATAGCTCACTGCAACCTTGACCTCCTGGGCTCAAGTGATCCTCCCGCCTCAGCCTCCCTAAAATATTTTGTAGAGATGGGGCCTCACTGTGGTTGTCCAGCTTGGTCTCAAACTCCCAGACTCAAGCAATCCTCCCGCCCTGGCCTCCAAAAGTGCTAGAATTACAAGTGCAAGTCACCATACCTGGCTTTTTTTTCTTTTTAAATAAACATACAATTTATTTTTTTGAGATGGGGTCTCGCTCTGTCACACGGGCTAGAGTGAAATGGTGACCATAGTTCACTGCAGCCTTGAACTCCTGGGCTCAAGTGATCTTCCCACTTCAGACTCCTGCATAGCCAGGACTATAGGCACATACTACCATGTCTGGCTCAGGTCAGTGATTTTAGAGAATGACCCTCAGTTGAGGTCTACCTAATGTTTTCTCATGACTACTGGATTGGTGCAAAAGTGAATGTAGTTTTTGTCATTACTTTTGTTTTGCCATTACTTTTAATCGTTTAAGGGTACACATTGTTGGGAAGAATACCATAAAGCCATGTGTCCTTCTCAGTGTCTCAGCTGTCTGATGTCTGTATGGAGTACTTGTGATGTTCACCTTGATCACTTGGCTGAGGTGGTATCTGCCAGGCCTCTCCATGGTAGACTTAGTATTTTCCTTTCTTTTGTTTTAACTAAAAAAAAATTTTTTTAATAAAAAGAGGCAGGGCCTCACTATGTTGCCAAGGCTGGTCTTGAACTCCCACTTCAAGTGATCCTCTTGCATCAGCCTACAGAAGTGTTGGGATTACTGGCAAGAGCTACCACACCCGGCCTAGACTTATGGCTCTAAATATTACTTACGGATCTAATATTTCCTCTTTGTAAGTACTACATATTTAGAGGAAATTTATACTAAAGCTATGCAAATAACAATTTTACTAATATACTAGGGTGGAACAGATAAGTAAACATATTGTAGACAGCAGGAGCAAGGTTTTTCACTACAGGAGAAAGAATAAACAAACAAGGAGAGTTAGACTGGACTGGAGTTGGAGGTTTCTAGATGAACTCATGTCTTTTTCTTTTTTCTTTTGGATAGCTAAACAGACTGCTTTTCAAAAACCTGAATGTTACCAAACTTTAAAAATTGATCGGACTGGGCGCGGTGGCTCAAGCCTGTAATCCCAGCACTTTGGGAGGCTGAGATGGGCGGATCACGAGGTCAGGAGATGGAGACCAGCCTGGCTAACATGGTGAAACCCTGTCTCTACTAAAAATACAAAAAACTAGCCGGGCGAGGTGGCTGGCGCCTGTAGTCCCAGCTACTCGGGAGGCTGAGGCAGGAGAATGGCATAAACCCGGGAGGCGGAGCTTGCAGTGAGCTGAGATCCAGCCACTGCACTCCAGCCTGGGCGACAGAGCGAGACTCCGTCTCAAAAAAAGAAAAAAAAACAATTGATCGATGTAACGGCCACACGTATTTTTTTAAAAAAGCTTTGCATGTCTTGTGAAAATATTAGAATACCAGCCAACGTTAGGCCCATCCTCCTTCACGGCCACAGTCGGCTGGGGCTGAGTCGAGTGTGCTTCAGTTTAGACCCCTCCCCTCCCCTCCCTGTTGTCTTCTCTCATTCATTTGCTTTACCTTTCCAGCCTCTGTTGGCTTTTGAGTCTGTGATGCTTTGACTAATCCAACTCCTGAATTTCGCAGATCAAACCAGATTAGATTAGTGGCAGAGAAGGGACCAGGGCCCAGATCTGTTTCCTCCCAGCTCAGCATCCCTCCCTCTCCACCATCAGGAGAAGAGCCTGCAAACCTTGGCTAGCTCACTCATAATGCCCACCATTTTCCCAGAGAGAGGGTGCATTGGGGCTGGCTACAAGCACTCATGGGGTGGGACTGAGGTTCTAGCAAAAGGAAGGGCAGGAGGGGGACAAAGAGCTGGTTACCAAGGAGGTTTCCTGAGTGGTTGGAGAAGAGGGGTCCCCCACTGGAGCCGCTGTGCACAGCACATGTGGTCTGCAGCATCACGGGCATGCCATCCACCTGCACCACAGCCGAAAGGATGCCTGAGGTCACCGAGGGCCCACAAGCCTGGCCAAAGACGCCAAAGCCCACCACACTCACAGCCTCGCCTGCCAGGGAGGGAAGGAGGGTGAAGCTGGGGACACCTGTGTTACAGCAGGACTCACACTCCCTAACCCCCATCCCTACCCTCTCCAAACGCCCCAAACCTCTCCAGCCTTCAAGTTTCTGCTCAGATACTCCTGTCTCCAGAGAGCCTTCCCCAGGTCCCCTGGCTGGAAGAGGCTGGGAACCGCATTGAGCTCCTAGCACTGTATCTGCATGACCACTTCTGAGCAACAGGCTGTTCCCCAGTCCTCGTTCCCTGGACAGGCAGGGCAGTGACTTTTAGGAGTTCCTAACACCTAGCTACACGCTGAATAAATGTTTATAGAATTCACATCCATCTCCTCCTGGGACTCCTAAGAAGTCTCTTGGTGAAAAGAAAAGGTGACAATGGCTATAAGGCAGCTATGACCTTCCTTTTCCAAGTGCAAGGCATGGAAATAGTGCTTTACAGGCAACATCACACCCAGCCCTCACAACACCCAGAAGTAGGATACATTAGCCCCATTCCAAAGACGTGGAAAATGAGGCAGAGGAGAGTTAAGAAGCCTGTCCAAGGACATGGGACTAGTAAGTGGCAGAGGAAAGATGCTCATCCAGAGCCCCTGCACCCTTCATCACCGTATCACTGCCTCCATGGAGTGCGACATCGGTACTTATGTGGCAGCATCACAAAGCCTTTTACCCAAATCATGCCCCTGGAGCCTTGAAAGTGTCACGTGCCTCTCTGACCAGCCTGAAGTAACTGTTAAGGAACCCCAAAGCCCCGCATCCTCACACTACACTGCTGCAGGCACTCAGGGAAAGGGCGTGTTTTATCCTTCACAGGGTATTCCACATTCCCTACCAGCACAAGAAGGGAGGCCTCCAAGGACCTTGACCAATGCCACCCTGACTTCATGAGAATGCCCAACACTGATTCTCTTTCCTGAGGCCCACCCTAGCCCAGAGGGGCCCACCTTCAGGCTGCACCCTTGGTCCTTTACCTTCGTGGAAGTGCTCAGCAGGCACAGGGATGGGGACATCATCCAGGTCCTCCTCCAGGCTCACCACTGCTATGTCATAGGGACATGACTCCTGAGTGGCAAATACCACACGGCCCCAGATGGCCACACTCCTAGGAGCAAGCGAAACAAACAACAGGCTAGCTTTCTAACTCCTCAGTTCTTGGGAGAAATCAAGGAGCTGAGAGTGACGGTAAAAGTCATGGACTTGGAGTCAGAAGATCTGGGTATCAGCCCTGAAATCGATCAGCCAGGCAACGCTGGGCAAGTCATGTAAGCATTCTGTGGTATCTCCAAAGGTGGTTGACAACCTGTGCTACTTCTATAAAGCTTCCTGTACCTGAATAATCAACACTGACACTTAGTGAGTATTGTGGGCCACGTTTGGTGTTAATGCTTTGTGGACATCATTTAGTCCTCACGACCCTATAAACTAGGCACTGGCATTATCTCCATTTTAGGTGGTATAACAGAGGCCCAGAGACCCTCAGTAACAGTCCCAACACCAAACAGAAAGTGGGAGGAGCCAAGGCAAACACAACACTTTCCTTCACTGCCTCGTTGATACCCCCAACAATCCCATCAGTTGGTGGGGCAGATAAGACATGGTTTTACTCCTCTGGGTCCCTATTTACACTACGTGGAAGGCTCCATTCCATGACATTTTGCATCAACTCCCAGGGAGGCAGCTTAGATAAATTAAGTGACTTGCCTAGGATCAGACAGGGGTGTCCTACTACACACTCTGTAGGGGTAGCTTCCAACAGACCTAGCAGTCTCCTTAGGAGCAAGGGGCATGTGGGGGGAGTGGGAGGAATCTGGTAGGTTCCCATACACCATAGGGAAACCTTCATCATCAGTCTTCCCAATAAAGTCATGGCTGTCCAATAGGCCACCAGTGGGGACACCTGTGGCAAAACTGGGCTGTGTTACCCACACCTGGCTAAGCTTGGGGACTCAGGAAAGAGATTTGGAAAAGCCTGGGCTACAAGGCTGGGTTGAACCACGTACAGCTGCCTGGGCCATCCCCCTACATTCTGATTAGGTAGAAACCCACGTTCTGTCATTTTCATTCAGAAGGGAAGCTCTGGCTAAGCTCTAAAAGATGGCTAAAATTAATAAACCCATCTCATTACCCCAGAAGGGCACCATCCTGGGCCTCTGGGACCTTATCAGTTTCAGAGGAGAAGCAGCAGAGTTAGAGAATATCTGTTCAAAGGGCCAGAGAACAGTGGGGTATGGTGTGCAGGGTTTTCAGACAGCGAAGCTGCCCAGAAGAAACTCAGACTTTGAGGGGAGCTCAAAGATGGCCAGTTCCGGATTCAGGGTGTCCCACAGTACCCAAATCCAGAGCTGCTTGGAGCTTGACACCTTGCTCCTGATTCTCCCCGCGGGGGTTCTCGGTATAAAGGATGAGGGGAGGGTCTCAGGTCTCTACCCACTACACGCCCAAAGCATCCGCATGACACAAGAAAAGCCTGCACAATACTCAAAAGTATTAGGCCTGGACCCAGACCTGAGACCTGGAAAGGGATGGAGTGGGGTCAGCCCTGTGGGCTTACTTGGGGGTGGTGGAGCGCACCAGGACCCTGGCTGCTTCCCGAGGGGACACGTGCCGGCAGGTCACTACAAGGCGGGGTGCCACAGCCACTCCGGAGCCCCATACGGTGCCGCACTCCACCAACACGGCCGCGGCTGCCCACAGGGGCCCGGAGTCTCGGAGGGGCAGACCCCACGGGACGCCCACCTCTGGCGGCAGGAGAGCGGCCAGGGCAGCGGCGCTGGGGCGCAGGCGGCAGAGCGCGTCGCGGGCGGCGCGGAAAAGTGGGGCGGCGGCGCAGAGCAGCGTGAAGCCCACCCATTCGCCGGCCTTCCAGCAGAGCGGCGCCGCCACCAGCGCCACCAGCGCCCCCGCGGGCCGCGCGGTGAACACGCCGCCGCCCTCGGTGCCAGGCAGGCAGCGTGCGTCGGTAAGCAGCAGCGGGCCGGCCACGTTGCTGAGCACCCCGCAGCTCAGCGTGTTGAGAAAGATGTCAGGGCAGAAGGCGCCGAAAGGGGAGCCGCAGACCAGCAATGGCGTGCCCTTGGGCACGGCCCCGAGAGGCGACACGGTCACGGCCGGCCCGCGCTCCTCCTCCACCTCCTCCTGGCCTAGCCGCACGCCCAGTAGCGCGAACCAGCCCAGCGATCTCAGTTGATCCGCCTCCTCCTCCTCCGACACTTCGTCATCCGGCGCCGCGCTCGAGAAGCGCCACTGTTCCGCCGCCTCGTCCCCGAAGAGGCGCGCGAAGTGGGCCCAGAAGGCCGGGCAGCTCAGCAGCAACAGCAGCTCTGCGGGAAGCCGGGGCTGCAGGGGACGCCCGCGGGACGGAGCAGATGGGCCGGGCTCGAGGCCCGCGCACTGGGGCGTGCACAGCACTGGGCGGCCCCGCTCCGCGCCGCCCCCGGGACCCGCGGCCGTTGGGGCCCACTGCACGTGCAGGCGCAGGTCGTCGCTGCAACTGTCGCCAGGCAGGAAGGCGGCGCCGGCCGCGGTCAGGACTTCGCTGCCAGCTCGCAGGAAGGGGACGAAGATGCCCCCGTGGCAAAGCACCAGGCCCGGGCTACGGCTCAGGATTACCCCGCTGCAGCTCCATGGGCCCGCCTCGGGCCGTCCGGCCCGGGAGGCGCTCACCACGCAGCCCGCCTGCTCGGCCGCCCTCATGGCAGACCCCCACTGCCTTCCCATGGCCTGTAGGCCAGACACTAGAGGGCTTCTCCGAGAAACCGCAAGCAAGCGAGCGACAACCCCTACCCGGTCCGGCTGAACCAGCCTAGCGCCACCCACAGCTGGAAGCGAGAGGCGCAAGCTCTCACTCAGGTCTTCCTCATCGAGCCCGATTGGCTAAGCCCCAACTGACCCGACCCGATTGGCTGGGCTTGTGCCGAGCTCTGATTGGCTGCCTATTCTGATTCTCCTTTCCCCGCCCTCGTTGGTTTGTCCAACCTGTGGGACAGAGCCTCTGCCCCATTACCCCGGATGAGCCCGGGGGAGAGTAAGAGGCGTGCGGCGTCATAGGGAATCCGAGGAGAGGATGGTGGGTTCCTTCAAGTCTAGTCGCTTGTTTGCTGGACTGTGGAAAAGGGAATAGAAATGAGCGCTGACGTGCCTAGATTTGCCCAGGCCGAGACAGTACCTGTTAGCATCTGCCCAGGTCTAGGCGACCTTCGGCCTCTGACCCCTGGGATAATATGCATCAAGGAAATCCTTGGCCAATTCAGTATTTTGAAAATTTAAAAGTAAACCCTATAGCAATCCACTAGGGGGCATGGAACTCTCAAGATTACTCCTAGGATTTTTTTTGCTGCCAAAGCCCCAACACAAATCTCCGAGAAACTGAATTTGCTGTAAATTAAATTGCCCTTTAAATCGACTATGATGAACAGTAGCTGAAATCAAAAATTTTAATCATACAGCCCTATATTTTGCAGTGTGCACATTTCACATAACCACCGGCCAGGATTTATCTAGGCCAGGGTCCAAATACTTTCTGTAGAAGGCCAGAATGGAAACAGTTCCAGTTTGGGGGACCATACAATCTGTCTCAAATAGTCAATTCTGCAGCTGTTGCATACAAAAGCTAAAGGAATGGCGGTGGCTGTGTCCCAATAAAAAGTTACAGACGTTGAAATTTGAATTTCATATAATTTTTTTGTGTCCAAAAATAGCATTCTTTAAATATTTTTTCCAACCATTTAAATGTGTAAAAACCTTTCTTAGCTCACAGGCCATACAAACACAGGCAGCAGGCCTGAATTGACCCACAAGGGATAGTTACCATCTCTAGTGTACGCTAACATAAAACTTCTCTACTTTTCCAAAGAAGTACCCTTTAGGTCAGAGGAGGATGAAGGAATATGTCAAGGGTTGGGAGCTTCATGATACCCTCAATCAGTCACCACAAGCTAGACAGTTTACAAAGGTCTGCTTTATCACTGAATTGATATAATACACATTAATTTTTATTAAGGTTACTATAGTATACTACCAGCATTTGTGAAAAAATATTCAATTGCTATTTAAATTCTCTAACCTTTCTGCCTGAATTCTTTTTTTGTTTTTGCTTTTGTTTTTTGAGATGGAGTCTCACTCTGTCGCCCAGGCTGGAATGCAGTGGTATGATCTCGGCTCACTGCAACCTCCGCATCCTGGTCAAGCGATTCTCCTGCCTCGGCCTCCCGAGTAGCTGGGACTACAGGCGCACGTCACCATGTCCGGCTAATTTTTTGTATTTTCAGTAGAGATGAGGTCTCACCATGCTGGCCAGGCTGGTCTCGAACTCCTGACCTCGTGATCCTTCCGCCTCGGCCTCCCAAAGTGCTGGGATTACAGGCGTGAGCCACCGCACCCGGCCTCTGCCTGAATTCTTTAAAGTTAACACTGTTTGGTATAACACCAGCACAACACAGGATAATGCTCCCAGTACTCCCAGTAACACAAACCTGCTAGAGAAAGGAAAACGATTATCTATGATAGTATGAGGCAGGACTAAAATGAGGCCGTCTTGCCATAGCAGGCAGTCTTCCTTTGGTTCTATGACACAGAAGGTGGCTTGATCAGAGCAAAATTTATCCCAACTTCCTAGCAATTAAAGAGTTTTTCTCTTGGTGGAGCACAGGGGCTCACACTTGGAATCCCAGCACATTGGGAGGTTAAGGCAGGAGAATTTCCTGAGCCCAGGAGTTTGAGACCAGCCTGGACAACATGGTGAGACCTTAACTCTACAAAAATTTTAAAAATTAGCCAAGCACAGTGGTGCACCCCTGTGGTCTCAAGCTACTTGGGAGGCTGAGATGGGAGGATCACTTGAGTCCAGGAGGTCGAGGCTGCAGTGACCTATGTTCATACCAATCCACTCCAGCCTGGGTGACAGAGCGAGACCAACTCAAAAAACAAACTTTCTCTCTGGAGTCCAGTGATTCTCCCTCAATGCTCAAGACTCCAGCATGAACTGTTGGGTGCTGGGTTTTTCTGTGTTTACAGCAGACCATGGTAAAAAGAAGTCCCAAGTCACAGCCAGAACAGCCAAAGTAAGATCTTTTAGTGCTAGGCTCACTGACTGAGCCTTTAATCTTATGTTCCACTTTGCCTCAAACAAAACCAACTCATTTGCCCATACAACCCATGGCATCCTTCCATAGTAACAAGGACAACAGGACACCTCCAATACTTCTTTTTTTTGAGACGGAGTCTCACTTTGTCACCCAGGCTGGAGTGCAGTGGCGTGATCTCGGCTCACTGCAACCTCCGCCTCCCCAGTTCAAGCAATTCTCCTGCCTCAGCCTCCTGAGTAGCTGGGATTAAAGGTGCATCCGACCATGCCCGGCTAATTTTTGTATTTTAGTAGAGATGGAGCTTCGCCATGTTGGTCAGGCTGGTCTTGAACTCCTGACCTCATGATCCGCCTGCCTCAGCCTCCCAAAGCACTAGGATTACAGACACGAGCCACCGCACCCGGCAACATCTCCAATACTTTAATACTTGGTTGAAAAGAACCCATTGCCCTGTTTCCCACTGTTTGTCCCAGTACTTTAGTTTTATGATCTCATTTGGGTTTTTCTAAAAGCAAGTCTTCCTACAAGCCTAGTAAAGGAAATTCTTTCCCATTGTGCCAAATGTAGCATTTAATTGATTTTTTTTTTTTTTTTTTTTAGAGAGTCTTGCTCTGTTACCCAGGCAGGAGTACAGTGGCGTGATCTCGGCTCACTCAACCTCCACCTTCTGGTTCAAGCGATTCTCCCGCCTCAGCCTCCGGAGTAGCTGGGAGCTACTCCGTGTACCACAATGCCCAGCTAATTTTTTGTATTTTAGTAAAGATGAGGTTTCACCCCTGTTCCCCAGGCTGGTCTCAAACTCCTGAGCTCAGACAATCCACCCACCTCAGCCTCCCAAAGTGCTAAGATTACAGCGTGAGCCACCACACCTGGCCAATTCTGTGTAAAATGAGTGAAACACAGCTAAAACTAGAGCTAGTCATTGCTGGCATGTTAATACGAGATTTTGCTCAAACATCTGCCATCCCCATCCTGTTACAGAGATGACCAACAACCCTGGGTCCACAACATGTTCCAAATCTCTCAAATAGTACTAAATCTATTACCTCTAGCACCCCACCCTTTTTCCCCCTCCTGGTGGCAAAATTCAAGTATCTCACACGCACCCTAAATGTCTCTTCCTCTATGTAGGGAACTTTTGGTTCCCTCCCCAAACAAATGGCATTGTTCAAACTCAGAGCTCAGAACCAATGCAAAAAAAAAAAGAAAAAGAAAAAAGAAAAGAAAGAAAGAAAGGAAATAGCAGATTTGTTTTAACTTTTTATTAAAATGCTTAGGATACAGATTGACTTTCTTTTGTAAATGACTGTTTTACTTTTCCTGAAATAGGACATATATGCACTCTGATAAAACAGAATGAGAAGTCATAATTCATGGGAATTCCTGTACAAGGTGCTGATCCTGTGTTTGGAGCTGAGCTCCTCACAGCAGCTTCTTTCAGCTATCTTATAGGAATAGTGTTCCGTGGGGCAAGAAATACATTGGTTCTGATTTTCCATCCCCTTTCTCCAGTGGAATAACCCACTTTCACAAAGAGCTGCCCTATGTAGAACCCACAGATTTCTAACTTGCAACAAAGAGACACAGGACAAATAGGAAAAAAAAAAATTAGGAAAACTAACACTGAAGTAATCATACTTCTCCCAATAGAGAAGTATGGGGGATCTTTAACCAAAGGAAATTAAAAATATGCAAGTTAATTACCTAGTTCATTCACTGTTAGCTAGATTTGTTCACTTAAGGCTTTAACCCCTTTCCAAACCAACAATTTTGTCTTAATCCAGCTATGCTTGCTATTAACGAAATGCATGCACTTCCCACATATATACTTGGCTGAGCCTCTGCATTCAGTACCTGGCAGTGAAAAAGTATGCTCCAGTCAGTACTGGAGAATAAGAATGAGAACTCCAACTAAAGAACGATGCCTCTCTCACCACAGTAATGTTATCCACATTTCCCTACCCTCACATTAGAATAAAGACATCCTCCCAACTTTTCATCTCCTATCTCCAATCTGTTCCTAGGAGATCTATCTTTTGATCTTTTAGCATAAGGGTAGAATATAGGTTAAGATCATCAAAATCCAATTTCACATGTGGCACTAGGAAAATGGAATGCTATAAAATTAATCCCCATCACCCTAGTAGGGATGCTGGTGCTTTTATACTGAGTCTTTACTGCCAATAAATGATGCTGCCTCCAAAGGAACAGCTCTACAGAAAGTTTTTGGGTTAGTGTTCCCCCAGCTTATTTCTGCAATGGAGAAAGACAATTTCATACAAAAAAAAAAAAACCTGGAAAAGCTACAGATGTTAACTTTTACTTTAAACACTAATAAAATAGGTACCAAAGGAGAAAAAATGTAAGAAAAAGAGCTCAGAAACAGCCTGAGAGACCAATTCTGAAAATGGAAATTTTAAAGCCCACTGAGTACATTTTTCCTGGATCCAAACAAGTGCTACAATACTTTCAAGTCCTCAACTCACAGAATTAAGAGCCCTTAAGCTGTTAACTTTGTCCTGTCTTCCTATTCAGAAAAACGTCCCCCTAGAATCTGTGCAAAAGTAACTGATGCACCTGCAGTATGTGACATGAGAGATGTTCTCAACGCTTTTATGAGGTGAAAGTCACTTTTTATAACTGAAAATGAAAAACAAAGGTGCTATAGAGAGAAATTAAATTTCACAAGTATAAAAGCAAAGACTGGCTGAAATCTGTAACTTCATGAGTAAGAATAGTAACAATAACCCATTCTATAATTAACTCCTCCACAGTGAACAATCTGCTACACATTCCTTGATGAGGAACGACCCTAGCTTACCACAGTGGAAACCTGCCAAAACTTCAAGGCCAGGGTTCCGCCCCTTTTCTAGTTCTCTGTGCACAAGGTTATGCCACCTACTCCAAGGCAGTCAGAGAGACAGGTGAGCTCAGGGGAGCTTCTCTCACCAACCTGCTAACTCAGCAGGAGTAAGTTCACCCAAATGAGCTCTGGTTTCCAATGTGTATCTGTTCATAATTTTATGAAGTATCTAAATGTCATTCATTAGTTTAAAAAAAAAAAAAAAAGAATAGAAAACTCTGGACCAAGTAAATTGTGAACTCAAAAAGTTAGGAGGGATACCAATTACATTAACAACACTTTCTTTAAAAAATAGAATCAGTTTCTTTTGAAATCAACCACAGTGGTGAGACGTGTTTTTCTTTTCAGGTGCCCCATGATGGCACACAGCTTTACCCGGCAAATCCTGCCAGCTTCCAAGTCCCGGGATACTGACCTGCACCAGCACGTGGGGCAGCATTACCTCCCAACAGTGTGGAGAAGAGCACATGTCACCACTGGGCAATGAGAGAGTTGACAGAGACTCTTGGCTTCTCAACGCCAGACATGGTTGGAGAGCTTTCCTTGTTCTATTAGAAAAGTTCATGAGGAAGCTGTGAATAGGATCAGTCCAGAGAAGTAAAACTCTTTTATTTTCACTGTCCAAACATCAGTCAATATACTGGGAGAGCCAGCGAAAACCCTCGCCGTAGCCTTGCCTCTTGAGCACACTGCACATGAACACTTCCATGGGGCGAGCATTCAGCTCCTTCAGGGTCACATTCCCCTAAAGGAGGCAAAACCAAGAAAGGCCTGTTAGCATCTCTGTGGTGGAAAAGATTGAAAGGACGATCACTACAATCATTTTATCCATTCCTTAAAAGCAAACCTAAGTAGGTATTAATTACAGAAATGCAGTCAAGGCCATATAGATGACTTCCCCAAGCTCGTGTTTTCAGGATAGAATAAGCAGCACAGTTCTTTTCCCAGCCTCTCTCTCTCTGAAGAGCATTTGCTTTGAACACCCAATATTTATCTGTAAAGTTATGGTAGCAAACCAAGAAAAAAACCACTGGGACTTATGGAACTAGCATGCTCTCTGATGCAGAAAAGAGGTCTGGGACTGTTTAGAAATAAGGACATTCTCATTAGCAAAACATGCAGAAATAAACACTCATAACAGGTGGCACTGAGGAAATGAAGAATTCATGTGTATTTAATACTGATGCAAAAGAGGAGAAATTAAATGAAAGAAAGTATTTCTGTAAAGAAACAGGTAATCAAGAAGAGGCAAGACTAAGGAACCATGTAAAAAAGTCAGAAAGTTATCACAGATCACAGAAAAGGAAGATTTTTAAAAACTAAATATGCCAAAAACCCAAGCTAAAAAGAACAGAAAGATTCCTGCTTCACTGTATCTGATCTAGATTTTCTCTCTCTCAAGCCTGCTTTTCAACAAGAGTCCTCCTTCCAACTGAAGACAGTAAAAACTATTGATTTGGAAGACTCAAGTTCTTTTTCTGGTTTTATCACTGACTTGCTGTGTAGACCTGAACAAATCATTCTCTGTTTCTTCCTCTGCAAAATGTGGCCAACAGTCCTACCTCTCTCAGCAAGAAGCACTGAGGATAATCAAGTTTTTTTATTTCAATGCTTGGAAAGTGACTGAAATTATTATTTTTCTTTATAACCTGCAATCTCCAGTCCAAGAAAAATTATTTTCTGGCTAAAAAGGGCTATTTCAAAAGCAATTTCTCAGAATCAAATTTGAAAGATAATCATAAACTCTTAAAAGAGTAAGTGTGCCTTTTCTACCATTTTCTTCTTCCTCAAATACCCGATGAATGAATCCCATTTAAAATGTTAAAAGAACACACTCCTGCCTCTAGTGAGCTTACAAAATACCCACAGTAAAACAAATCCTAAGCCTGTTTAAGCCTTTAAAGGGGTAATTTAGATAGCAAAACATCATGTTTTAAAACCTGTTAATGTCCTTTATATGTAACCCAAATATTTTTATCTTACCTTTCCTGTGGTCTGTCCATAAAGCCCGAATATCTCACGGAGTTTTTCTTCACTGATTGCATCTGTTCTATCAATTTTGTTACCCAAGATAAGGATTGGCACATTGGATATTGTTTCATCAGTCATTAGAGCCTAAAGATTGAAAAAGAAAAAAAGAATTAAGTGAGGAATCTACAAAAGCCCACCAGATAATGAAAATTCTGACTTCATGCCGGGCGCGGTGGCTCACGCCTGTAATCCCAGCACTTTGGGAGGCCGAGACGGGCAGATCACGAGGTCAGGAGATTGAGACCATCTTGGCTAACACAGTGAAACCCCGTCTCTACTAAAAAAATACAAAAAATTAGCCGGGCGTGGTGGCAGGGACCTGTAGTGCCAGCTACTCAGGAAGCAGAGGCAGGAGAATGGCATAAATCCGAGAGGCGGAGCTTGCAGTGAGCCGAGATCGCACCACTGCACTCCAGCCTGGGCGACAGAGCAATACTCTGTCTCAAAAAAAACAAAAAAAAAAAAAAAGAAAATTCTGACTTCCACTCATCTTTTAAAAAGGCATTAATGTAAAGTGAAAATCTTATCATCTTTATACCTGAGTGATTAAATATTCACCTTGACATTACATAATACCCATGACATTAGGTAAAAATCTCTTAAGTGCCTCAAAACAGTTGAAACTTTAAGCTATTTATTTACAAAGCAGCAGAACTGCCCCAACATTTACTTTTGAGCTAATCTGCTCAGCCACAAACTATCCTCAGGATGCCCCTCAGCACAGTCCTACAAGAATGAATGCTCCCGCTACAGAGCCTCAAAGATGACTATAGGAACTCCCCAAGTATTCACCAAGTCCCAATGTGTGCAAAGAACTCTCTCAGGCATTGAGAGGAATACAATAGGAAGGGTGACTATCTCAGGCACTAGGCACTGAGAATACAAAAGGAAGCACATTCCTGTCCTCAAAAAAATCCTTACTCTATGTTCACATTTATGGTTTTTTTTTTTCTTAATCTCGACTCACTGCAACCTCTGACTCCCAGGTTCAAGCGATTCTCCCACCTCGGCCTCCTGAGTAGCTGGGACTACAGGCATGTGCTACCACACCTGGCTAATTTTTGTGTTTTTTTAGTAGAGATGGAGTTTTACCATGTTGGCCAGGCTGGTCTCAAATTCCTGACCCTCAAGTGATCTGCCAACCTCAGCCTCCCAAAATGCTGGAATTACAGGCATGAGCCACCACGCCCAGCCACATTTATGTTAACAAAGCCAAGTAAGAACACAACATAGTTGATAAGTGTCACAACGAATGGGAACTGAATATTAACAGTAAGACAAGTTCAGGGAAATAAAATGGCAGTTCTGGGCTTGAGCAAAGTCTTAGCAAAGATCTGGAACCTCAACAGGGCTCTAAAGGAAGAGCAGGGTTTCAAGAGGTGTAAAGGAGAAGAAAGAACATAAACAATGGCTTTGCAGTGGACAACAATTTAGGAAGCCGCACAGTACTGCATGGCTGGATTCAAGCGTTTAGACAGACATGCAGCAACAAAAAAAATGGATGGGAAGAGATGACTCACATTACGGGACCAGTGTGAGAAGTGAGCTGCAATAGATCCTAAAGACCACAAATCCAGAAGTTAGTGAATAAAATTGTATTTTTCAGTATAATGAATTCACAAATAGTATCTATCTGTGGTGTTCATGTAATATCTATCTGTGGTGTTCATGTAAGAGATCATGATCTAGTTTAAGGTAGAGCATTCAATGAATAGTGCAGGAGGCATTTTGAAGAAAGAATTGAAGAGACCAATGTCTAAATGATGATTAAAAAAGAAAAAAAAAGACAAATGAGTCAAAACTGGCACCAATTTCAAGCCTGGGAAACTGCTTGTCACCAACAAGAAAGGTAGAGGGGAAAGCAGAGTTAAAGAGGAACATGCTTTGAACATCTGGAATTCCAGGAAATGTTACACAAAATTAGAATAAGAATGTCCTTAATTCATTAAGCAATAACAAAGTACCTAATGTGTCTCATGCTTTGCTAGGTGCAGGGGTTTCGCAAAGAAATAAGACACAGTCCCTATCACGTTAGTTCATAGTCTGATGACAGAGAACTACAAGAAAATCAAGACAACATACATTGGTACGGTGGGAGTCTAACACAGTCTCAAGAGACCAGGGGAAGCTTACCAGAAGCAGTCATATCTGAACTCTGAGGTCCCTTACAGGACATTTTAAAATTTGCTGACAACATGAGGGGTTGAGGAGAGGTACAGGTGAAAAAGCCAGGCAGTAGCTACTTGTGCATATTCAAGGATGGCTAAGTTGTTTGTTTGGAATATAGTTCAAGGTAGGCAGTAAAAAGCAGCAGAGAGAGGATCATGAATGATCTTACGTGCTATGCAAAAGATGTATAGATTTTATCATGAAAATGATAGAGAACTATCAAAGGATATTAAGTAGGGCAATGAAGTCTGAGAAAGTTCCTTCTGGCATTATGGTGCATATCAGGGTCATGGTGGGATCTATATTAATTCACAGATTTCTGGACTGCATGTCTAGGTAGGTGGTGGGTAGGAAAGACGAATAGTTCCATTCTAGGAAAACAGAATCGGTAGTGGGAGTTGTCAAGAGTGGGCAGGATTAGGTATGAGATTGGAGGTCAGGAGAGGTCTAGAGGAGAGAAATGCATTTGAGAGTCACTGACATGTAGGTGCCAAATGAAGAGAGTAGATGAGACCAGCCTAGGAGAAAGTAGACTCTGGAGAACACCAACATTTAAGGACTAACCAGAAAACTAGTGCTTCTCAAAGAGACAGAAGTATCAGCCAGAGAGATAGCTCCAAAATCAAGAGTGAAAAGAGGAGTTTAAACAAAGAGAATGGAGACCATGCATGGTGGCTCATGCCTGTAATCCCAACACCTCATGAGGCCGAGGCAGAGAATCACCTGAAGCAAGGAGACTGAGACCAGCCTGGGCAACATAATGAGACCCTGTCTCTACAAAAACACTTTTAAAAAAAAAAATGAGCTGGATGTGGTGGTGTGTGCCTGTAGTCCTAGCTACTTGCGAGGCTGAGGCAGGAAGATCACTTGAGCCCAGAAGTCTGGAGTTTACAGTGAGCTGTGATTGCACCATTGGACTCCAGCCTGGGCAACAGAGGAAGACTGGTTTTTTTTATTTTAAAAAAAAAAAGGCAAGGTATAGATTGCGTGGCAGGCAATTCTACATGAGGCTGGAGCTATAGATGTGAGAAACATACTTAGAAATAAATTCAAGACACGTTCAAATTGCCAGGAACAAGAATCCAAGGAGTTACAGATCAAAGAGAAAGAAAAGATATAGGGTAAAGGAGTAGGGATAATAAAGCCAATAGTATAGAAACCATCAAGCCAAGAGAAAATGCAATGTGGACAAAGGAGAAAACTTGAAGTAAGTCCTTGATAGTATCAAAGGATGTATGCAACCAAAACTGAAGGCTGAGAACAGACCATGAAGGTCTGGCAAGTCATTCAGTGGGAGGGTGGGTAGGCACAAGCTGAGAATGCAGATTCAAAAATGTAAAGAACTCTAATATTGCTTTTAGGCTTTCACTGTGCCAACACTACTTATAAAGAATTACTGTTCGTGGGCCAGGCGTGGTGGCTCATGCCTGTAATCCCAGCACTTTGGGAGGCCAAGGAGGGTGGATCATGACGTCAGGAAATCAAGACCATCCTGGCTAACACGGTGAAACCCCGTCGCTACTAAAAATACAAAAAATTAGCCAGGCGTGGTGGCACGTGCCTGTAGTCCCAGGAGGCCACTCGGGAGGCTGAGGCAGGAGAATCCCTCAAACCCAGGAGGTGGAGGTTATAGTGAGCTGAGACTGCGCCACTGCACTCCAGGCCAGGCAACAGAGAGACACTCTGTCTCAAAAAAAAAAAAAAAAAAAAATTACTGTTCATGATGACACGTGAAATGGAATACTATTAATTAATTAATTATGCTGGGACAAAAGGCATAAATGAGGAGTATCCTGAGCAAACTTGGCCATATAGTCACTGTATGATAGAAAAAACAGTTAATTTATTCAAGTTTGAGCTGAGTTTCCTCAGGACATTGAAAAGCAATGTCTTAGATTTAAAACATTTTCCTCCTGCAACTAGGTCTTTTTGCCAAATGTTAACTGGAATTACTAATTATTGGCACTACTGAGCTATATTTCTTAAAAAAAAAAATAGAGGCCAAAAAAGGACAAAGTATATAAACATACATTAAGCTCAACTTTGGATTCCACGAGGCGAGAATGATCTGCACAGTCCACCAGAAAGACAATCCCATTAATTGCTGGGAGATAATTTTTCCAAACCCGACGTGCTAAAAAACAAAGTTTGTAGTTGCATCAGTAAAAAAATATACATTGTAAAAATGAATAACCTAATGGTCTTAAAATGGACAAATCTTGGTCAGGTTTCAGTAAGATTAGACTCTATGGATTTCTCCAAGTTCTGGCCAGTATTAATTTAGAACAGAGGATGCAAACTAATGGTCCACGAGTTGAACTTGATTTTTGTAAATTTGAAAATCAGAGTTTCCACCTTTCTTGAAAAACTGCAACATCTGGCAACCCCATGCCTACTTATCCACATGACAACTATCAGCAGGAACTAAGCAGTGGCTACCCCTTCAGATGATGTCTGAACACTTTTGCTTGACAAAATGTCCCTGCTGTCTTACAGTCAGCCAATTTTACTCACTTAAATGACTTGCCTTGCCCCTGGAGCCAAGTTGAATTTGCAACCTCTGAGTTAAAACATCAGGATACAAATTACTTGTCCATGTAACTTTAGTCCCAGTTAGTTTCTAGCCAACTTGTGTGTAGGTGTCTTGACACACTCCTCTGCTTAGCCCTTAGGGAGACTGGGCCTGACAAGTGGTTCAAGGCCCCAGGCCAGTTATCTCAGCCTACCATATTTAACCCAGCATGCCTTAGAAATATTACTTGTTTTTTGCTTGTGACATGAAACGATAAAGGCTGGGAAGCAGTGATTTAATTTTATTATCATTTCTAAGCCATTCATTTCTAGCCCTTGCAATAGAATGAATAACGAAGCATCTCTACATCAGTTATTAATGGTTACCTTTAAAGAGTAGAGTTAGGAAAAAGAGGTTGAAGGAACTTTCCATTTTACTTTCTGTAGTTCTATACCGATTTTGTTATATCAAATCTGCTCTCCTTTTATAAGTTAAAATTTTTAAGTTATACAAAAAAAAAAAAGGAACCTCCAGATGTACAGTATTTTAGTAACTTCTATAAAATGGTGGCTAGGTTATTAGGTAAAAGTGTTTCTGTTTAGTAGATTTTCCTCAGTCAAAGAAACAAAACTAAATACATCAATACATTTCCCTTCTTATTTTAACAAAACCTGAAACCTAAATTTATCACACCAAACAATCAACAATTCCCAGTTCAGGTATATAAAACCATCTGGTGTCTGTTCCTTCTGCATTCTCCAGATGGTCTAGGTTCAGTCGTATCTTGCTCTGAATTTAAATTTGTAAGCAGTTACAAATCCTTTTGTGGAAAAGCAGAAAGGACACCATATACCCATTCTTACCCAAATGAAAAAAAATACAAGCTCCTTACATAAAAAAGGAAACAAAATCATTTCTAATCCCTCCATCAAAACACACCCCTTGTCAATATTTTGGTATTTTCTTCCAGTCTTTTTTCTTTACTGGTATTTTATGTGATTATGATCATAATATACATGATTTTTTAGGGCATAAATATTAAATAAATTAATTAAAATGTAATTATATGTTAATGAAATAACTGACTATAAAATTATTAGGCTTAACTACTAGAAATGACCAATGTTGTATTTTACTACACATTGTTTTAAAACTGTATTAGGGCCGGGCGCGGTGGCTCAAGCCTGTAATCCCAGCACTTTGGGAGGCCGAGGCGGGTGGATCACGAGGTCAGGAGATCGAGACTATCCTGGCTAACATGGTGAAACCCCGTCTCTACTAAAATACAAAAAACTAGCCGGGCATGGTGGCGGGCGCCTGTAGTCTCAGCTACTTGGGAGGCTGAGGCGGGAGAATGGCGTGAACCCGGGAGGCGGAGCTTGCAGTGAGCCGAGATCACGCCACTGCACTCCAGCCTGGGAGACACAGCGAGACTCCGTCTCAAAAAAAAAAAAAAAAACAAAACAAAAAACTGTATTAGGCTGGGCACAATGGCTCACGCCCATAATCCCAGCACTTTGGGAGGCCAAGGCAGGTGGATTGCTTGAGCTCAGGAGTTCAAGACCAGCCTGGGCAACATGGCAGAAACCCAGTCTCTACAAAAAATAGGTGGGAGGATTGCTTAAGCCCAGGAAGTAGAGGTTGCAGTATGCCAAGACTATGCCACTGCACTCCAGTCTGGGCAACAGAGCAAGACCCCATCTCAAAAAAAAGAAAAAAAAATGGTATTAGCTCAACCTAATGTTTCAAAATGAGATTTCTCCACTCAATGTAGTAACAAGTAAGTAAATCTGACAGAATCTCAATAGTTCCTTTTCCCTACCTTCCCAGAATGTTTATTCTCACATCTTAAATGTTTTACTCCTATACCTACTGTCTTGTCAAATGTGAACTGAGTGCCCATTAGACAAAGACGCCCATCCTGTATGTCTCTAAACACCTGATAGGAATCTGGTAGCCAAAGACATAGCCTGAGTAGGCAAAAAGCACTTCTAAGGAAAGCAAAAAGGTAGAAGGAAATGTTCTACCAACTGTCCCAAATGGATAGAATATACAAAATATCAACTTAGAGTAATCACACATAGTCACTGTACTACTTTTGCAACTTTTGACAAGTCTGAAATTACTTACAAATATTTAAGTTAAATTTCCTACATACTTTCACTCCATTGAATAAAGGATGCAAAAATGCTTGATAACTAAATATATGATACTGTATACCTGGTCAAGATGAAAAAATGGTATAAAAGAGATTATCAGGACAACTGACCAAAAAAAAGAAAAAAAAAGGAAATACAGATTGGATAAAAATAAAACTTTCTTGATTTGATAACTATTATGATTATATACAAGGAGATATCTTTGTTCTTAGAAAACGGCACTAAAATATAAAAGAGTAAAGGGGCATGATATGCTCACAAACAGTTAATAAAAAATAAGTATTAATATGTATTATGTAGGGAGGAGGAGACTAACAAATTTGGGCAAAAGGTATAGAAGAAAATACACTGGCTTAGAGCAAGCCTAGTTAAAATGATGAAATAATTACTCTTGTTGAGGCAATACCTATATCTTTTAACGTATTTTCTAGTTACCAGGTAAATTGCGTTAATAAGTAAAAACCTAGTAAAGATTAAAATGGCAAGATGCTGTCCTGCTTTGTAAAAATTTTCAGTCAAGATTTGAGTTGAGTTTGGCTTTATCAGGCAAATACTTAAAAGTTCATGAATAGTTATGCATTATAGCTAACTTTATACTAGCTCAATAGGGTAATATTGAAGTGGACTTCTGTGTATTTAACGCAACTTTAGACAAGTTTGAAATGAGTTTAAAAAAAATGAATAAAACAACTTCACTAAAGTAGTAAGATCCTAATTCTAAAGTGTAATTTAAAAGGTAAAAACGACACATTGCTTTTAAAGGGTGCTGGGGGGCACAAAAAGAATCATAAGTCAATAAACATGCTTTCCACTGAGTCATCGCTTACCTTGCTCATGCCCACCAAGATCAAAAGTTGTAAAGGTCATTCCAGCAATTGTTAGCTCTTCTGATGCTGAAAAATTGTTTAAAAAGAAGAAATAAACTTGTCAATTCAACAAGCCCCAACTACTAGTACTACAAGCCAATACCAATGCTTTCACCTCGTAAAGAAAAAGATACAAGAAGTTAAGTGTGGTGGCACCCGCCTGTAGTTCCAGCTACTCAGGAGGCTGAGGGCAGGAGGATAACCTGAGCCCAGGATTTTTGAGACCAGCCCAGGCAACGCCCCACTTCCAACAAAGAAAAGGAATACAAGGGTGAAAATGTTCTTAAACTATTCTAAAAGCCAAAGGTTTCTTTTTTTCCAAGCTATTTTCTGCTTCTTAGAAGTAGGTATAGGAGATGTGTCCCTTTACAGGACCAGTGACAACAGATAATGACAAAGTTCCAGAGGTTTAGATCTGAAAGTACATAATATGAATGTGTCTTACAGGGAACTTTTTCATATGAGTTGGCTTTTGGGACTTCAGTTAACAAAAGAACTCCATCAACTAGGGATTCATCCTCCAAGCCTAACACTGACCTTCAAAGATCAAAAGGTCACCTGATATTTTCAAACCTACTCGGATGTAGCGTTGGAACATGTTGGCCCAATCTGTCATCTTTGAGCATGTGAAGAAGAGTGGTTTTGCCTGCATTGTCCAAACCCAAGAATACAAGTTTTCCAGATTTCTTGTAGAGTCCTAAAAGAGAAAAAATTGTTAACACATTTGCTCTCTACAGACCAAAGCCTACTTGTATTTAAATTACTGAAGGAAATGCACAAACTTTGAAACCTGTATTTCAAGGAAATGGCTTTACCTAGGAACTGGAGCACACTGCTGAAGCCATTGTAGATCCACTCAAAGATGAAAGACATTATTAATGCTTACTACCTGTATAAAATATGAAAGTAGCAAACATTAGCTTTCTGAATGACAGTACAATTGTGGAGAGGTTAACTCTTGTTCACTAACCATGATGCACATTTACAGTCCTGTGTTTTCAGGCATAAGAAAGCAGGCCAGGTATGGTGGCTCACACCTGGAATCCCAGCACTTTGGAAGGCCAAGGCAGGAGGATCACTTGAGCCCAGGAGTTCAAAACTGGCCTGGGCAAGAAAGTCGGACTCAATCTCCACAAATAACTAAAAAAATAGCTGGACATAGTGACACACACCAATAGTCCCAGCTACTCAGGAGGGTGAGACAGAATTACTTGAACTCAGGGGTCTGAGGCTGCAGTGAGGCATGACGGTGCCACTGTACTCGCTTGGGCAACAGAGGGAGACTCTGAGAAAAAAGACAGGACAGGACAGGATGGGACAGGACAGGAAAAAGAAAAGAAAAGGGAGGGGAGAGGAGGGGAGAGGAGGGGAGGGGAGAAAGCAAAGTAAAGAGAAACTAATATTCTTCTTTCTTGAGACTTGCAGATTTTGCACTCTAGAGGAAAGTCTCTAGAATCCTTATATGTGCAAAAATGACTGGTTTCCTAAAAGTTTTTGATCTATGATACTCAGAGAACTAGGAGTTAAAAATACAAAGGGCATACCTCATTTGATGATGCTTTGTGGATCCTGAGGTATTCTGGATTTTTACAAATTGAAGGTTGGAGGCAGTCCTGAGTTGAGTAAGTGTATCAGTACTATTTTCTAACAGCATGTGCTCCCTTTATGTCTCTGTGTTACATTTTGGTAATTCTCACACAATATTGCAAACTTTTTCATTATTCTTATATCTGTCATCATGATCTATGATCAGTGATCTTTCGTATTACTATTGTAACTGTTTTGTTGTGCCACAAATCACAACCATAGAAGACAGCAAACTTAATGACTTCCTCCACAGCCCTGCCCCCACCCCAGGCCTCCCTATTCTCCAAGTGAAAGTAACAGGTCTCTCCCTTGAAATCGAAAGTTAGAAATGATTAAGCTTAGTGAGGAAGACACATCAAAACCTGAGATAAGCCAGATGCTAGGCCTCTTGCACTCAACAGTTACTCAAGTTGTAAATGCAAAGAAAAAGTTCTTGAAGAAAATTAAAACTGCTACTCCAGCGAACCCACGAACATCAAGCAAATGAAACAGCCTTACTGCTGATTAAAAAAAAAAAAATTAAAATAAAAAAATAAAAATAAAAACACGAAGTAAAAATGCAAGTGCTGATGTAGAAGCTGCAGCAAGATAACTGGTGAAGGTGGGTGGCTACATTAAACAACACATTTTCAATGTAGGCAAAACCGCCTTCTATTGGAAAAGCCATCTAGGACTTTCACAGCTGGAGGGGAGACATCAATGCTTGGCTTCAAAGCTTCAGGGGGCAAGCTGACTCTCTTACGAGCTAATGAAGCCAATATTCATTTACCATTCTGAAAATCCTAAGACCCATACTCATTTATCATTCTGAAAATCCTAGGACCCTGAAGAATGACACTAAATCAGTCCAAGTGGAGCAACTGAGCAAGCAGAGTGGTTGTATGGTTGTGTCTCGAAAACCAGTAGCACTTGCAGCACTGACTGAAGAGCAGATTGCAGAATTCAAATAAGTTTTTTCACTATTTGACAAAGATGGTGATTGAACTACAACAACAAAGAAACTGGGAACTGTAATGAGGTCTCAGGCAGAATCCCACAGAAGCAGAGTTACAGGATGTGATTAATGAAGTAGATGCTGATGGTAATGGCACAACTGACTTCACTGAATTTCTGACAATGATCGCCAAGAAAAATGAAAGACACAGACAGTGAAGAAGAAATTAGAGAAGCATTCAGTGTGTTTGATAAGGATGGCAATGGCTATATTAGTGGTGTAGAACTTCACCATGTGATGACAAACTTGGAGTGAAGTTAACAGATGAAAAAGTTGATTAAATGATCAGAGAAGCGTATCTTGATAGTGACGGTCAAGTAAACTATGAGTTTGTACAAACGATGACAGCAAAATGAAGACCCTGTACAGAATGTGTCAAATTTCTTGTACAAAACTGTTTATTTGCCTTTTGTTTGTAACTTACCTGTAAAAGGCTTCTCCCTACTGTCAAAAAAAGATGCATGTATAGTAATCAGGACTATCAGGACTTCATTCCTCCATGTGTTCTTCCCTTACTGTCATTGCCCTGAAACTTTATTTTAGAAAACTGATGAAGTAACATGTTACCTGTGGCTTACTCTGGATATATCTAAGCCCTTCTGCACATCTAAACTTAGATGGACTTGGTCAAATAAGGGAATATCTGAGTTATGCCTTTTTTTTTTTCAGACAGAGTCTTGCTCTGTCGCCCAGGCTGGAGTGCAGTGGCCAGATCTCAGCTCACTGCAAGCTCCACCTCCCGGATTCACGCCATTCTCCTGCCTCAGCCTCCCAAGTAGCTGGGACTACAGGTGTCTGCCACCTCGCCCAGCTAGTTTTTTGTATTTTTTAGTAAAGACGGGGTTTCACCGTGTTAGCCAGGATGGTCTCGATCTCCTGACCTCGTGATCCACCCGTCTCGGCCTCCCAAAGTGCTGGGATCACAGGCTTGAGCCACCGCGCCCGGCCACCTTTTTTTTTTAAGTAGTTTTCTTTAGGAACTGTCAGCATGTTGTTGAAATGTGGAGTTGTAACTCTGCGTGGACTACGGACAGCCAACAATATGTACTTAAAAGTTACACTACTGCAGAACGGGTGTATTATCCAGGTACTTCCAGGTACCTTGTACACTATTTTTTTGTACTGCTGGTCCTGTACCAGAAACATTTTCTTTTACTGTTACTTGCTTTTTAAACTCTGTTTAGACACTTAAAGAAAATCTGCTTATGACACAATTTGCCTCAAATCCATTCCAAGTTGTGTATTTGTTCTCCAATTTAAAAAAACACAATTAAAAAAAGAATTACACTAAAACTACTCTGCCTACCACACATCTGTTTACAGCATGGTTTACTAAGTATTTTAAGCCCACTGAGAAGACCTATTGCTCAGAAAAAAAGATTTCAAGATATTACGGCTCATTGACGATGCACCTGGTCACCCATGGGCTTTGATGGAGATGCAGAAAGAGGTTAATGTTGTTTTAATGTCTACTAACAACATCCATTCTGCTTCCTATGGGTCAAGGAGCATTTTCCACTTGCCAGTCTTTCATTTAAGAAATATATTTCACAAAGCTATCAATGCCACAGACTGATTTCTCTGCTGGATCTGGACAAAGTAAACCAAAAACCTCCTGGAAAGGAGTCACCATTCTAGGTACCAGTAAGAACAGTTATGATTCACGGGAAGAGCTCAAAACATCAATATCAACAGGAGTTTGGAAGACAGTGATTCCAACCCTCGTGGATAACTGAGTGGTTCGAGACTTCGGAGGAAGAAGTAACCTTAGATATGGTAGAAACAGCAAGAGAACTACAATTAGAAGTAGAGCCTGAAGATGTGACAACTGCTGTAATTTCATGATCAAACTAATGGATGAGGAGACGCTTTTTATGGATAAGCAAAAAAAGTAGTTTTTTTGAGATGGAATCTAGTCCTGGTGAAGATGCTCTGAATACTGCTGAAATGACACCAACGATTTAGAAAATTACAAAAACTTACTTGAGGTTACATAAACTTACTTCAGCAGCAGCAGGATTTAAGAGGACTGGTTCCAATTTTGAAATAAATTCTGCTATGGGTAAAATGCTATCAAACAGCATTGCATGCTACAGACAAATCTTTCTTGAAAACGAGTATTAACTCATGCAACAAACTTCACTGTTGTCTTATTTTAAGAAATTGCCACAGCCACCTCAACCTTTAGCAATCACCAACCTGATCAGTTAACAGCCATCAACGTGGAGTAACATGGAGGCAAGATCCCCAACCAGCAAAAAGGTTATGACTCACAGAAGGATCAGATGCTTGTTAGCATTTTTTAGTCATAAAGTATTTTTTAAATAAGGTATGTATTTTATAAGACATAATGCTACTGTACACTTAACAGACTACATACAGTATAGTGTAAATGTAACTTTTATGTGCACTGGGAAACCAAAATATTCGTGCTACTTGCTTTACTGTACTTGTTTTATTTCAGCAGTCTGGAACCAAACTCACAATATATCCGAGGTATGCCTAAACTTTCTTTTACTGTGTGACTCACTCCTCCAGGCAGCAGTTCATTCACAGTCCTTAGACATACCACTGCAGTCTTCCAGTGAAGAACAACTCTAGGAAATCAGTCTCATCAATAATGTGAATCAAAATGCTACTTAGATGCACTAAATAGAAAATAAGAATGAAAAGCACATTGATTTGAATGAAAAACATATTAATCTATCCTGTCAACAGCTCTAAAAAAAAACAAAAGTCACCCAAAATTCTACTGGCCGGCATCACTTGCCCTGCTCCATTTACCAATGCAACCTCAAACAATATCTAACCATGTTTGCAGACATGGGTCTCAATTTATGAAAAGAAATGACATCACTATTTTAGAACCATTAAGGGATAAGAAGAGAATCTTTTCATACATGAATAATCACACCTAAACTCATTTTACAAATAGATTTTCTTAAAATAAGAATACTTATTCAGGCTGGGCCCCGGTGGCTCACACCTGTAATCCCAGCATTTTGCAAGGCTGAGGTGGGGGATCCCTCCCTGACCTCAGGAGTTCAAGACCCGCCTGGGTAACATAGAGAGACCCGTATCTCTACAAATAATAATAATAATAATAATAATAAAATAAAATTAGCCAGGCATGGTGGCACATGCTTGTAGTTCCAGCTACTTGGGAGGCTGAAGCAAGAGGATTGCTTAAGCCCAGGAATTCGAGGCTGCCATGAGTTATGATTGTGTCACTGCACCCCAGCCTGGGTGGCAGAGCAAGACCCTGTCTCAAAAAACAAAAAACAAACAAAAAAAGAATACTTGTTCAGGATACAGCAATAAGTTTCCAAGCAAGTAAATAACTTAACTGGTACTGATATTAACACTACTGTTTCTATTGTTTCTCATAGTTATCAAAAGCTACTAGAAGGTTCACATATATTGGTAATAAGCAATGAATGAATGAATTCATTCATTCACTGAATGAAATGAAGAGGGTAAGATCTAGATGTGTTGGTGGGTCTTAAGGTTTCTCAGCATTGTCTGGTCATGATGAATTTTTGCTTTAGTATCTCAGATATGGTACAGAAAAATGGAAGGTTCACACTTTTACTCCTCTCCACCAGCAGGAGCATCTGAACACAGGGCTTTATACTAGATATGACCAACTGCAATCAAAATTTTCATGAATAGTAACCAGTAAAAGCATTACCCACAAAAAATTCCCCTTACATTCATTCAAAGAATGCCAGATGAAGAATAAATTGAACAGCTGGGAGCAGCGGCGCTTGCCTGTAATCCCAGCTATGCAGAAGGCTGAGGCAGGAGAATCGCTTGAACTTGGGAGGCAGAGGTTGCAGTGAGCAGGTTGCATCACTGCACTTCAGTCTGGGTGACAGAGCAGGACTCCATCTCCAAAAAAAAAAAAAAAGAGAGAGTAAATTGAAAAGTAGAGATGGTATGTTTTTCATCCAATTACTAGGTTTTTATCAGGCCCATAGCCTAATCTATAAATTTTAGGGCCTAATCAATGTTTATTTTTCATGGCTCTTACCAAAAAGAGCCAAATAAAGTTTGGCAGTTTGGGTGGAAGTACATACTAAGCTCTTATGAAAAAATCCTAAATAAGTTTATTTCTTTTTTGCCTTTTCAGTAACAAATATATTTCAGCAGAAAGACCATATTTATCACATTAATAGTTTTCTCTGGAAATTGAATCCGCACTTTAAGGAATCCAATAACTTAAATATACTTAATAAAGCTCCTCTGCTTAAATTCTCATTTACTGTAAATAAGTAAAAGAACAATGTGCCTTTCCTCTGCAATTCCCTCAAACCAGACATCCTCCTATACTTTCCTCAACCTACTGCCTGGAGAAGCACAGCTCACCTTTAGAGCACACCCCTCATTATGGTCATTCCCACTCAGATCACTTTGGAGGGAAGAATTAAAGCAGCCAAGTAGCTAAGTCCTGGCTGCTGCTGATTTGTATGCTCCAAGGGAGGAGATGGCTTAAAAGCAGGAGTGTCAAAGGGAAAAAAAATGGAAAATTAAAGTAGTTCAATTGCCATGAAAAACTATTTAAAGTGTGGCATTTTCTCCTTTTCACCTTTGCAGAATTCATCTAGTTGAAAATACTTGGCTCATGACTGTAATCCCAGCACTTTGGGAGGCCGAGGCGAGTGGATGACCTGAGGTCAGGAGTTCGACACCAGCCTGGCCAACATGGTGAAACCCCGTCTCTACTTAAAACACAAAAATTAGCTAGGTGTGGTGGCGGGCGCCTGTAATCCCAGCTACTCGGGAGGTTGAGGCAGGAGAATCTCTTGAACCCAGGAGGCAGAGG